AAATGATAATAGAATTGAAAATGAAAATTATTCTATAAAGTAGAAGAAAAACATTTTTACTTTAAAGTGCTTGTATTAATACAGGAACATTTTAAACACCAAAGCATTTCATATTTTAAAAAGTTTTTTTTAATTATTCTTAATACAATAAAACACACCTGTAAACTTTATAAACAAAGCAGTGAAATCCTAAATAATGTGCTTGATGTCGTTAGTCGTAACAGTCGAAGGCAGACGTCAACAGTTTCACCAGCCTCAGTGATTTCAAGAGTTTTAATGTTAAACCAAAACCATAAAAAGCTAATTAAAATCAAATCAATGTTTTCAGCATCTCGTTTATGGAGCAGAAGGTCAGACTTTGTCCTTATCAGTTTTCTGAGCTTCATGTGTGGTGTCAGAGAAAGGAGCAGCTGTAACCTCAGACGTAGCCGCTCCTGCCGTGCTCGCTGGGATCAGTCGACTTGTTTTGGGGATAAATGTTCATCGGCTGAGAATCGGAGCTTTTCCTGGGAGGTTCTGAACAGCTGGAGCAGAGGATGCTTCCTCCGATGAGAAGAAGAGCTGCAGCCGCCCAGCCCAGGTACAGAGCTGCACCCATCTCCTTCTTCTTTTCCTCAGGGATGCCCGGATCATTGAAGTCCACAATGACAGAATAGGCAAACCACGACACGGGGATCATCTGGGTGAGACCAGCCAAGACGAGAGCCGCTCCGGCAGCTGCCAACGCCCGAGCTTTAGCTGCCCGTTCGTCCACACAGTTGGTGCACTTTGATCCGATCGTGGCCATCAGAAGACCCAACGTTCCCATCACAATGGAGATGACGGTGAGCGCACGGGCGGCCTGAAGGCTGGCACTCAGAGCCAGTATGGAGTCGTAGGGCTTACAGTGCACCTGACCTGACCCCTGGTATAAGCAGGTCATCCAAATGCCCTCCCCTGTACTCTCTGTTGAGAACTCCTTCATCCCGATCAAAGCCGTCACCTTCCACAGGGGTAAGACGCAAGAAACCATGGCAGAGATCCATCCGATGGCAGCCAGGGTCGCTGCGAGTATCTCCACACCCATGGAGGCCATGACTCTGCTGCCGTGCACAGAGCAGTCAGCGGAGACTCTGCAGGGCTCACAGGCATCAGCTGTTTTTAAAGGACCGGAGGTGGAGCCGCCTGCTACCTTAGTCAGATTGTATCCGTGTGACCTCATTGAAACGATCAAAACCGCAGCTCTGAAGCAGAATCAGCTGCAGTTTAGTCACTCATCTTGCACATCGATGGCGGCTCTTTCACCCGTTTGGGGAGTGAACTCAGGCTCTGCAGCTGTCGGCTCTGGGGGGGTGAAAGGATGACTGGACACAAACAAGTGGCCGATGACTTACTAATAAACTGAGAGCCGTGTGTCATCGGCATATAGAAACGCATCATTTACTGACAACTCTAAATGATCCCCGTTGAACTTTTCCATAAACTCTTGGCGCTCCAGTTGCTTCAGAGTCTTTCCATCGGCTGGTCCAACCTGCTTCCAGCTCCGTTCCTAGTCCTTGTTCGAGGAACTGTGGCAGAGGATGGTGAGTGTTTTGTGACCATTTCTTTTATTTGCCCGTCGCTGCGTTGCGTTCGTCTCATTTAGACGTTTCACGTGGTCGGTCTTTGACGAGCACAATCGAGGCGGCGCTCAGTGGAAAATCACGGAGACCGCGAGGACCCGAGCAGAGGCGACGCGAGTGGTTTAGGGACTCTGAGAGCGTGCACGTTTTTCTGTCTCGTTTGTCTCCACGTGCTCCTATGATGGATTGTCCAGAGCGCTCATCTGCTTTTGGAGTTTATCCCATTCAAGATGGCCGCTACACCTAGGTGACCTTAGCAAACACAAAACTTTAGCAGTCAGGTGCACAGACACGGAGCTAAAATTTGGTGTGGTGGTAGCTGAGAGTCCTCCGCAACACATTCACAAGCGCTTTGCTTCAAACTTTGCCAATAAATGTTTAACTAGCAGTCATTCTGTTAGCAAAATATCTCATGAATTCCTGTGCGTACTTTAATGAAACATTTAGAAAGTAATCATTAGCTGTTCGTCTACAGCTGATAGCAGTCAACCCAGTTCAAGATGGCTGCTCCAGCTGATCTGCCTTCACCGACACGAAAACTGCTGCTCAGAATTCCAGACCCGGAGGTTCATGTGGTAGTAGCTGAGAGTCATTCCTTCAGGGAACGTTAGGTCTTTCTTTAGAAAAGGTCCAGGTTTCTGTTGGAGCTTCAGGCAGGAGCTGCTTCGGCTGTTTTAACGTTTCTTCTGAAGCCTTCCAGTTTCCAGCTGCAGATGTCAGAGCACCGGCCTCTGCTCTGCTGCTGATGTTAGCTGCTCCCTGAACAGCCAACAACCCGTGTGAGAACGCCAACAACTGACTTCCTGTGGACGCGGCGAGGCGTCCGGGCGGAGCGATCCCGGCGCTTTCTAAGAACAGCTTGTGTAAACAACGAGCTCCGAGCCGCTCTGCCACTTCGACCTGGCTCAGGTAAGACTCTTACACGGGACGCTCTAGTTTAAAGGATTTTTATTTTTTATTTTTAGAAGTGATCAGCTCAACACCGTTTCAACATTTACAGGTCCTTCTCAAAAAATTAGCATATTGTGATAAAGGTCATTATTTTCCATAATGTAATGATAAAAATGAAACTTTCATATATTTCAGATTCATTGCACACCAACTGAAATATTTCAGGTCTTTAATTGTTTTAATACTGATGATTATGGCATACAGCTCATGAAAACCCAAAATGCCTGTCCCAAAAAATTAGCATATCTTGAAAAG